CCATTGGATTGACTAGACTTTATATAAATCAAAATAAAAATCGCCACCGCGCTTTATTGTTTTCAAAGGAATGGGAAAAGAGAGAATAACCCAAAAAAGGGAGAAAGATTCAAGGTAAGGGGGTTGGTTATGCAAAGGGAAGGTATTAGCACCCTAAACATCTACGGTACTCCACAAGAACCTCTTTGAAAAATCTATATATTTTGGTTATAAAAAATGTGTTATGTATAAAATGGATTGTGGAGGTGAGAAAAGAAATATTTTTATGATTTTTGCACCTGCCGCGGTTGTGAACCTTTAGTGCCTACGTACCACCTTTCATGCAATAGGGGATCAGGGTACACATAGTTCCTATTTTAAAAATTTGAAACACAAGTGTGTCAGTTAATTTTATGAGATAAGACATCATCGTCATTATCCGTGTGGAAAACATACTTACTACCCACAATTATGAGAAAGGAGAATTTGCATCATCTCAAAGTGGAGGGTATGGCTTGGATTTTAAAATCAACAATGCCTCACTCAACACCCAAGTGGAAAATATCTCTCTTTACTACATATTGTAGAAGTATAGTTGTTTGCATCACTACAAGGATTGACAAGAGTCTAATCTTTTTTTAAAAAAAATTAAAAATAAAAGACAAAGTGGCAAAATGGTTTGAAATAAGATTGATTGACTTTTAGTATTCTCACAAAAAGTGTCAAGGTATTATTAAATTAATTGAAATTTATTTATGAAACTGTTTTGAAAATGCATGGACCTAAGTCCAAGTTTATTATGAAAGTGTTTCAAGTTTCAAAAAAACAAGAAGAGTTTTCAAAAGGAGGGAGATGATTTTTTGAAATTAAAGAAGATAAGAGGAGAAGAAGAGATTATCCTAAAGCATAAGGTAAAAGCCAAGGATAAGAACCATCTAACCAACAAGAAGCCAATACTTGACATTATGAGTCAATATAGAATTCCCATTCTTTGTATTGAAACCAAGCAAGTAAAGATACTAGACCTCTTGAGAGAACCAAACTTTAAGTGTATTAAGTCTTCGCAAAAATTGGGCAGAGTAACGACTATATACGGGTGAATTCCAAATTACAAACAAAGTATGTAATCACAATACCCTGCACACAAAATAAACAAACAACCCAATGTCTCGAGGTAAACCTCAAGAACTCCAGACAAAATAATGAATTAAGGTCACAAAGTCTCCAAGATAGGCCAAGGTCTCTAATCCTAAGTCCAAGAAGTCCAATGCTCCATAATGCCAAGGATAGTAACCAATAGTCCAAATATCATTAAAGAATTTTATGGTTCATGTTGATTATTAGGTGTCTTTAAAAAGAAAAGAAAATCTCAAGTGAGCAAAATAAAAATGACATAAAAGTAAATGCTCAAGTGAGCAAAAAATAAAAAAAAGGCATGAAAATGTAAATGCTCAAATTAAATGGTACGTAAAGCATAAAAAAATAAAGCATAAAGTAAAGTCAATTGTTAGAAATTAGTGGTTAGTTGGATGACCATCTTGAAACTTGCATTTGGAACTCATTAGAGGATTGGTAGAACCAAAGCCTCCACACAACAAGTTGCATTTGCTTTTTGTCATGTATATCATCCATTTTGGAATCCTCAAAAAGTAACATTTAATGATCAACAATGTTTAAGTGATCCGCGTTGACCAAAGGTATTGTAGATCCATTAGAGGATTGGTAGAACCAAAGCCTCCACACAATGAATCTCAAGGTTATTGGATCAAAGAGATCAAATTAACATACTTGGGCTTGCAATCATAACTTTGGGCCACGAATGATCATTTATTCGAATCGGGACAAAATTTAGCGCTATTTTAAGCAATCATAAGTGGACTTATATAGAAGCCGCACCTATTTTGAGGCCGGTCAATAGCAATCTATGTAATTCATGTTTGGATAAATGATATAGAGATCACCATCCCTTAACATGCAGCACAATTAAAAAAGAAAGGGATAATATGAAGAGGGAGGGGAATGATAAGCTAATTTGGATCACCATTTCAAAATTCTTTCATCTTTAAATTCAACCACTCCTCTAGATGGATTAAAGTACTAAACATATCATTAATCCAAAGCACCAAAAATGAATTAAATAATTCATTCTTAGGTAGATTTGAATTAATGAACATTTATCCAACTTCATCTACATCACAAAGTCCATTGAGTTTAAAAACAAATTGGACATTTAAAATTGCAGTCCAAATTATCCATCAAAGAGAGTGCAGAAAAATATTTGAGTCAAAACAGTCCCAAAATAAGGCAGCAAAAGTATTTTTGGCACTGTTACAATCAATTGTGCCTAGACAGCAACCTATTGCATCAGTGCAGTTTTTTATCAAATCAATTTCCTGCGACAATCAATTGCAATGTTACAACAATTGATTGCAACCTGTAAAAAATCAGTAGAAAACAACATTTTAAAGATCAAATTCTTGTTCCAACTTTTTATCAAACACCTTATGATCATGGATCCAATTGAGCATGAAAATTCCAGCAAATTTTGAGAAAATAGCACTCATGGAGTTATAAAACAATGCTCAATGAATCAAAACCAGAAATCCACAAGAGATCACATTGTTAAATATGATGATCCAACTTACCAAAGGTAGAACTTGAGAATTATCAAACCACTTCAGAATTTGCTTCAATTCAACAACAAGAATCAATCACCAAAGCTTGGATGTAGAGAATTGATGGAGAAAAAGTGTTTGGATGAAGGTTTATCTCAAAGATTAGTAAGCTTCAATGCAAAGCTTACTAACTTTTTGAAAATGGAGCTTTGAGTGAATTTGGTAAAATGGAGAGAATTGAGAGATTTTTTAGCAAGATGATTTTGGCTATCAAAAGCTTGTGATTTGAATGAAATGAGGTCACTATTTAGAGTTTTAGGATTGGGATTAGTGGTAATTTGGTAATTGATTCTTGGAGACAAATTTGAATTAATGATATAATTTCAAATTATGCAGAAAAAAATGGAGCCAAAATGATAACAGTTTGAATTTGCTGGCTTTTTTTCAAAAAATACGTGCATTTTGCCATTATGAGTCGACACATAAGGGGTATGCGTCGATACATCCTAGCTGTATAACACAACATGTGTCGATACATGCCTCTATGTGTCGATACATACTTTTATTCCAACACATTACAGAATCACACAAACTGCATGAGTCGATACATAACACGTATGTGTCGACACATGCTAGTTTTACAATCAGGATGAGTCGATACATACATGCATGTGTCGACACATGCTAGTTTTTTCAAGCAGGATGAGCCGATACATACATGCATGTGTCGATACATGCTAGCTATGCACAACAAAATGAGTCGATACATACCTTTATGGGTCGATGCATGCTGGATTTTTTGCCACAATAGGATCAATCAACTTTGCATGACCTTATTTGTTGGATGCTTTGACTTGGTACCTACAAAACACAAATTGTGCAAAGACAAGGTCAAATATTTTTTGTATTTTGGTTAGAGGTTAGTCAACAACACATATACAAGATACACAACCAAGGTGCTTGGAAATTCCTCAAGAGCAAACTTAAAGATAGGAGATAGAGCAAGATGAAGAACCAACCCTAATATGATCTTGTTATGATCAAGTTGACATGATATGATAGGGGAATCTTAGGGGCAAAAATTGGGGTACAACACTCCCCCCCCCCCCCCCTCCATAAAGATGCATGGAACTCTTCTAAAATAACTGGTATTTTAGTGGACTTGGATGATAAAACCACCATTCCCTTATGCCACAAGCACCCTTTTTTAAATTCAAAAGAAGGATAAGACTTCAGATCAACTACCAATTCTTGGATCAACTTTTTAAAATTTTCATATTGAGTTGTTTCCTCCATAATATTACTCCAATCTACAAGACTCACCATTGAAATAGCCTTCGTATCCACAACCCATGGCAATGCATCTGCTACTCTATGCTCCTTTCCCTTCTTACAATAAATCTCAAAAATCATACCCCATAAAATTTGCCATCCATATTTCACTACAACAAAATAGACCTTTCGTAACACAATATTACAATGGCCTTCCTGTTAATCGTGGTAATAACACATTTTTGGGATTTTTTTTTGTATTTACTAAAAGACAATTCACTATGGTCATTGCTAACAATGGTAGTGAAATGTACCTGGAGTAGAAGGGTTTGAATCCCATCTCGAACAATTTTCCATTTATCGTTACAAATCGGCTTGACCTTATATATCACCACAATTCTTTTAGACAATTGTGGTATAAAGTTCAATCATTTCATCATAGTTCGTCTTACCAAATATTGTGAAAGGTGTTACACACGCACCCCCCCCCCCCCCACACACACACACACACACACACACACAAATATATATATATATATATATATATATATATATATATATATATATATATATATATATATATATATATATATATATATATATATATATATATATATATATATATATATATATATATATATATATATATATATATATATATATATATATATATATATATATATATATATATATATATATATATATATATAAGCAAAATTATCTCTCACTCAGTACATAAGAGTTGTCTCTCTCAATAGAAAGCCCTAATATCTATTTCACTCGTCTCTCTCAAGAGAAATCCCTAACATCTATTTCACTCGTCTCTCTCCAAACAAAACCCTAACATCTATGTCACTTGACTCACTCATATTGAAACCTAAAAATTATGCAGCGATTTCATCTTCTTTAAAATTTAGGAAATGGCTACCTTACAGGTTCGTCTTCGCCCTAGTTTTTTTTTAATCTTTTATTTATTATTGTTTAGGTTTCAATATCTTGTTTTATAATGTTTGAACTTTTTGCTTTTTTTTTTACTTTTAGGCATGGAGGGGCGAGTGAAAAAAAACTAACGAGGATGAAGCTAAAGTGAGCGCTACAAATTTGTGTGAGTGCAACAACCTTATGGATTAACACATGTTTGTTGCTCTCACTTCACCTTCATCCTCATTTCCTTTCATTTTGGATGCCATTATGGGACAAGTTCGTTTCTGACACATTTTATGAGTTGATGTTGTTGTTGTTACATATAAAAGTTATATTTTGTTTAAGGTTTGTTGTTGATAAATGTTGTTGTTAATGTTTGTTTAAGATGGGTTTATTATATCTTATATGGTTTGAGTGTTTTTTCAACACCTTAACGAATATATAACTTTTCGGATTGCATTAGAAAATTATAATCTGATATATAAAGTTATATTTTAAAACAAGTTACACGTTCAATGCTAGACAAGAATTCTTAATCCCAATATCTACATTTTGCTTTTTAACAGTGAGAACTTGGTTTAATGCTTCTAACTTTTCAACCTCCTTTTCCTTCACCTCTAATTTAGTTTGCAAATTAAATAATATGTTGAAAATGAACTAGAGGTGAAGGAAGGGGGTTGAATAACTAGGAACATTAAAATAAGTTCTAATAGTTAAAGAGAAAAATGATGATAAAGAGCTGGAGAATTCAGATTTAGAATTAAACATTTAACTTGTTCTTCTAATATAACTTAATTTGTCATATTATAATGTTCCAGATCATACTAAAGGTTATATGTTTAGTGGGCATTGATGAAATAAGCATTCCATATAATTTATAAAAAACTCATTGTGTATATCACAATGGTTGTTTATAATAGTCGTTGTTAAATGTTCTTCTTTAAAGCATATAAAAATGGTTGTTTGAAATAATTTTTGTGAAAAGTAGCACACTACTTGACTTATAATCATAGTCGTGCGACCGTGGTGGAAAGCATGATACATAAAATCACCTCTTATCTCAAATGTTTGGTCAGGCGCTGTAGTATCCCTTTTCTATGGTATTGAAACAACCGGTTGAGCAAATCATTGAGATGAAATCAATGAATTCGCCATCGAACATTTTTTATCCCACAGGAAGGGAAAGGTAAACATCGAGTAAACTTGAGAAGGGTGAAATCATGATCAAACGACCGAGAGATCGAGTAAGAAAGTCTGTTACGTGAAGGGAAGGTATTAGCCCCCCACACACGCGTAGTACTCTACAGTATCCATTCTTGTTGTTATAATCACAGGGTGTATTCAAATCTAAGTCTTACAAGCTAAAAGCAAAATAAAAAGAGTGAATGCATGCAAAAGAAAACACGGGGATAAGAAGGAAATATTTATAAAGCTTGTTCGGCTGAGCCCAATGACCAGATGCCTACGTATCCCTTTTAAGGAATCAGAGTGTCATAATTCGGCTCACATGTTTCGGTTTGTTTTGTGTTTTTTAATGAACAATATTAATTTCGCCTTCTGCCGCAACAAAACCTTTGGAGATTCACGTGTCAGCACAAAAGTAAATTAACAAGTTCTTTTTGAAAAGTTTGAAAGAAAGGGCCCAAAGGTGAAAAGAGTTTGCATTGGTTGATGTTTTTTACCTTGAAAAGGGATTTGAAAGTTGTTATATATTTTATGCATTTTCTAAGAAAAATGTTTTAGTTTTAAGGATGCAAAAGGAAGAAAAACATATAAGGGAGACTATCCTAAATCTATTCCTAATGTTATCATACAATGATTGATCCTAAGGTCGAGGATGAAAAGGTGAAATCTCTACCTATGTTAGCATGCATGGATACCTATCCTAATATCTAGCTCGGAAGCTACCCTAATCGAGCGATCCTAAGGGAACATACAAAGGTTCAAAGCCTAAGGGGACATGCAAAGATCAAAGTCCTTATCTCAATTCTAATTGAGTGACATCATCGATCATTAACAAAGGAAAACGATAAATTCCTAAGGGAGAATGCAAAGATCAAAGTCGTTATCTCAATTATAATTGAGTGACATTATTGATCATCAATGAAGGAAAACTATAAAATCCTAAGGGGAGCATGCAAAGATCGAAGTCATTATCTCAATTCTAATTGAGTGACATCATCGATCATCAACAAAGGAGGCAAACACAAACACAAACACAAGTAGCAAATAAGTGAAAAATGTCTGCTACAGGTCTTTAAACAACGACTTCGAGCGCACGCTCTTTATTTCCTACTTCTCACGATATCTAGAAAAGCAGTAAAATACGGAAAACTAAACCAAAATCAAAATGATACCAAACGAACAAGAGTCCGTAGCACAACAAGAAAAGCGGAGAAACCCAAAAAACTTCGAGTAAGCTTCACCAAGAAATAAAGAAGAGTCAGAAATCAAATGTTCGGGATAAGTTTCGAAGTGTCATCAATGTGAAAATAAATCACAATCAGAAACTCAAGCGTATCCGCATATCACACAATAAACCTACATAAGACTCAAATCTCAAAAGGAAAAGGTGAATCACAAATATCATGTAATCGGATAATCATGATTTAATTCCTAAAATCAAATTAAAAAAACCTAATTTTTTTATTGGTTTTGTAATTTTCATCATCAGAAAAATATAGAAAAAATTAAGAGAAAAGCCCTAAATCTAATAAGAAGAAAGAAGGATCGGGGGGGTGTGGGTCTGGAAGCATGTGTATAGTCCAGCAAAATAGGAGCAAGGCCCACAGAGTAATGTCCTTAACCAAATTTTGTAGCAGTTTCCAAGACCTGTAGTGTCATAAAACGCACAGAAATGGGCCTGTATGGTTATGTCCATCTATCAACACCTCTCCAATTCATTAATCTTTTGTTATCTCCATTTGATTTTTATTATTATAAGAAATAAAAGACGACGAAATAAAAAAAAAGTAAGCAAAGAAAATTGAGAGAGGGATTAGGGTTAGAAATGTTGTTCTTCTTCTCTCAGGCCATAAAACAGCGCCACTTTCTCCCTTCGTCTCATCTCCATTCTCACGCAACGGCAGCCTCTCTGTTCACCACCATCAGCTTCGTCCAAACTCCTTTCTTCCTCTTCTCCGTTACTGCAATCGGTGCATGTACTTATCTCCACCATCTCTCATCAACAAACATTGTCCTATTCCAATCGATTCTCAACCCATAACCATCATATTTTATACATGTTCATCACCATATCACCTCTATCTGCTTCGTGATAAACTCCCTTTGTCTCCTCTCTTCGTCTATAATATCTCGTTGTGTTTCTCAATGTTCGTCCTCCTCTCAGCTATTGCAAATCATCACCTTCACTGCTTCCATCGCGAATCCATTTTCCTCTCGCTCTCTTTATTGAATCCACTGAACAAAAATAACATGCACTATACTAGCGGAAGGAATTAGAGAGTGTTACCAATCGGATAACTCTGGTGGCTCTTCAGAGCAACGAATATGATGAGAAATCTAGAGAGAAATCTTCAGAACACCAGGTACTGATTCTTTATTTTGAATTCATGTTCTCTCTGTATCCCGCCTTCTTCAACTTTCTTCTTCAACTCCGTGTTTTCTTTGTTCTGTTACAGGAAGTTGTTGCATCGTATGGATCCATTGCGAATTATAACGCGAAAATGCCGATAAGCGTTGTGGACTGTCGATTGATGAAGGATGCAAATTCTTACTACTATATGTTGACGATTGAAGATGACTATAGTTGTGGAGGGTTTTGTTGCACTGATGTGTTGAAGTGGCGTGAAGAAAGAGAGCACAGAGAAGGTGTTAAAGAACAATGAAGGTTGAAGAATAGAAGGTGCCAAGTGACGAATGGAAGTTGTGGAGGTTGATGAAGGTATGTGTATGGGGATGATGATTGAAACAAGATGATGAAGATGCAGAGAGTTTTTCTTGTTTTTTCCGAGGGTGATTCTTCAGAGAATTGAAGAATCAACATCAATGAAGGCCAGATTTGATTTTTATTGTTTCTGTTAGAGCTAGGAAAAATTAGTTAGAAAATGATTGGATCTAAGCCATTGGTTTATGCTTTCTGTTAGTGAAAATTGAAGGGTTTGGATCTGTTAGTTATAGGGCTTGTGATTTTTGTTAGGTTCGGTTAGCCGAGCTAGATTTTTGTTTTCTATTTATGAGAAATTTGGATGAGTTGGCGCTAACTGTCATGAGTTGTTACAGTTAACTCTCTTTTCTAACTTGTTTTCTCTAATTCTGCTATTACTGAACTATTGACAAAAATCTATTAGGAAACTGGCCCTGTTTTGATTCTGAATTGCATATTTCTGGATTGGTTTTGCTGTGTACAATTTCTGAACTGCTTTGTGTATGCAGGGCTTTCTGTGGATGCAACAAATTTTGGCCATAAGATCTTGGTGTGAGAAGCTTAGAGACATATGGTGTATTGGAGTCATGAAGCATTTTTGGACTGTTGAAGATCAAACTGAACTGGAGTGAAGTAGGTTCTAGGAATTTAGATTAAAGGTCAACAACCGGATTTTGTATAGATGTGGTAATATAATTGAAATGGATATGTAATTGAAATGCTTAGATTTGACATAGTCTTGTAATGGAAGTGACATTGTGTTGGCTCCTAAATTCGACACCTTTGTTTTGATTGATGGTAGCCATTAAAAGCTGAAAGATGCTTTCGACTGGCTAAGCCTGTCGAAGTGCCTGTCGAAAGATGGCAAAAATACTTAGAAGATTTCTTCCAAGGAAGAAGGCTGATTGCCTTCGACGTCGAAGGAGTTTTCGTCGAAGACGTTTCTTGACGAACGTGTTCGATGGTCCAGAGTGGAGCAGTTTGAAATTCAAAGCTTTGGAGGGAAAACGGTTTCCAGCAGTTACTACGTGCGAACGTGCAAGGATCTGGAGCGTCGAACATGGAGAACGTGACAAGTGGCTTGATCTCGAAGCAGTGTAATTGCCCGACGGTTACTTGGAATGTTTTTGTATAAATAGGAGTAGACGTGTAGTTTCTCGCGTGTGTTCACAATAGATACATAGTCACTCATTTAGATTCAAGTACCCAGTGTGAGCGAACGAATTGTTGAGAAATGTATGTGTGAAACACCAATTTATCAATTCAAGTCATTTACTTTTCCAGTATTTTACATGCTTTTTCCCTTTAAGATTCCTGTCGAACCTTTACATTCAAGCCTTGTTATTTTACCAAGCCTTTTCCTTTATGCAATTTACTTTAAACAATTTACTTAAAGCCTTATCCACATTAATTAAACTTCAAAATCAACCTATGTCCATAGGATCAATCTGATCGATCCTGCGAGTAACCAAATAAGTAACCATTTGGAGGATCAGCGGTTGTTTACCAAATCCCAAGGTAAACAAATTGGCACACCTGGTGGGACAGTGTGTTGATTGTTGAAAAAATCTCATCTTTTCGAGTTGTATGTTATTGAGGAGTGGTAGAATATACACCAACGATAATAATACTGCCAGAAGAAGGGAAGAGATGGCGAATCCGCCAAACAATAATGAAATTCCACCACCAAGTGTGGGAGCAACGGTTAATATGACCGTTAGTGAAGCGACGAATGTTGGTTCGATGCCAGCAGTGTCAGTCACAACCACGGGGCCAATAACTTCGTTAACAGGCTCCAGAATGCCTTTGGGAACCCCCCCTCCAAGGGGAAATACTGGCCCAAGGCCAGTGGTTCCCCCAGGATTTATTCCATTCTATGGTATGCCAACTTCTGAACTGGCAAGCCTGACGAATGTTGCGTCCACTTATTCAGAACCTTTCGTGAGTGCTACTTCGCCACTCCAAGGCTCTGGAGTAGGCATGGCGAATAGAAATAGGACCCAACTCTTAGGAGGAACGTCCCAAGTAGCCCATGGTCTTACAAATGCCTCGACAGCAGTCTTGAGGCAACAGATGGACGAAAGCAACCATGATATGGTGCAAATGTTGGCACAAACTTTGAGTACAGTGCTAAATCCTCTAATACAAAATACTACTCAGTCGAATCAGCAAGTTACAGCGCAAATGACGCGTTTGGCTGACTTCTTTGGAGTACCCCCACCTATTCGACAGCCCCAAAGGGCGCAAATAAGAGGAAATCAGGGGATATTTGTAGAGGAAGAAACCACCATTAATCAGGCCCAACAGCCTGTAGAACAACCTGTCGAAGAACCTAGGGTAATAGCCCCAGAGGTAAGGTTAGTTAACAGAAACCAAAATGCTGACGAAGTGGTTCAGCATGTCCAATACCAAAACATGGGTTTGGAAAATAATCTGGCAACCATGATCGAAAGGATCATGACTCAGAATGGGATGAACATGGGCTTTCGAAGGCCCAACTTTACCTCTCCTTTGTCAGAATATGTGTTACAAACTGACTTACCCCCTAGAACCAAAGTCCCCAAATTTACTAAGTTCTCTGGGGACACGACAGAATCCACTGTCGAACATGTGGCTAGGTATTTGATCGAAGCAGGAGACATTTCAAATAATGAAAACCTAAGGATCAAATACTTCCCAAGTTCCTTAACCAAGAACGCTTTTACTTGGTTTACAACTCTACCCCCCAATTCGATCCACCATTGGACCCAATTGGAAAGATTGTTCCATGAACAATTCTATATGGGGCAAACCAAGATAAGCCTGAAAGAACTGGCGAGTGTGAAGAGACGTTTCACTGAACCTATAGACGAATATCTGAATAGGTTTAGGTTGCTTAAGGCGAGATGTTTTACACAAGTGCCAGAACATGAGCTGGTCGAAATGGCCGCAGGCGGTTTAGACTATTCCATTAGGAAGAAGCTAGATACCCAGTACCTAAGAGACATGGCCCAACTGGCCGATAGAGTTCGACAAGTCGAACGCCTTAAAGCTGAAAAAGCTAAGGCAACAAAAACTCACAAGAGAGAAAGAATAGCGTACGTTGAGATGGATGACGAAGATCTAGAATCCTTCGACGATACTTTAGCTGTCGAAGAAGGAGAAGTCGATTTAGCAGAACTAAAACAAGGGCCCCCATACTCTTGTAAACAGTTAGTTCCCTCAAATGGGAAAAATCCCATTGGTCCAGACAAGACCAACGATAGGTTCCCTAAAAAGACTTATAGTTTTGACATCACAAAATGTGATGAAATATTCGACTTGCTAGTTAAAGATGGCCAAATGATAGTACCCCCTGGGGTAAAAGTGCCTCCTCTTGATCAAAGAAAGAAGAGAGGTTTTTGCAAATATCATAATTTTCTGGGCCATAAAACTTCTCAATGTTTTCTTTTCAGGAATCTTGTCCAAGACGCTATTGAGGAAGGGAGATTAAAGTTTGCTGACAAATCCCCCATGGCTGTCGACTCCAATCCAATGAAGGCTGAAGCCCACTATGCAGAACCCTCTGAGGTGAACATGATAGAGGCTACCAAGATCCAGTCGAAGAAGCCAGGCATTAACATGGTCGAAGTCTCTAAGGACCACATCAACATGCCAATCTTTGGCAGTTTTTCTGGAAACTTATCCAGGAAGACAATTGAGGCTGTCCAGAAAGCGGTCGAAGATCCAAAGTCGAAGACTGCTGAAGCACAAAAAACTGGACCAAAGCCCAGTTCCCAATTGGCCACTGTACAAGGCCAGACGGAGAATCTGGAGATACAAATGAAACAACTGACTCTTGCTACTAAGGATACAATGAATATCAACATGGTTGAACTTTCTGACCCTAAAACTTCAGAAGAAGCCATAAGGCAAGAGCAGGCAAATAAAACGGCTTTCCCTAAGGAAAACGAAAACTTGGCAGATTTTTTACAAAGATGCCAAAAGAAGAAATCAGAGGTTATGCTGTGTCCAAGATGCAGTTCTATCTTTGATAAAAAAAGCTGCTGAACACATACAAGGAGTGAGAGCAGCAAACAAGAGAAGGGAGAATTCTGGCCTTCGACATGATCCCAGAAGGGGTTCTAATCAAGACAAGAGGCCTTCGACTTTTAGGCCTCCAACAAATGTACCAGTAGACACCTGGTACAAAACATCTGGCCGGAAAAGGCCAAGTGAAGAGAAATGGCATTCTTTCGAAGTGCCAAGAGGTTCCTCTTTAATTCAGAAGAAAGATCCTCAAGTTGCTGCACCCAAGGTTGCTCAAGTGTCCAGCAACTACAAGGGAAAAAATCCTATGTCGAGATCCCAATGGAGGAGGTATCAAAGAAGGCGAAAAGCTGAAAGAGAGGCTGCCAACGAACCTAAGGCTGAAACTAGTTCGAATGTGCCTCAAAGGAAACAAAGAAAGCCTCTTGAGAGAGAACCAGTTACCAACAGGCTAATTTGGCCTAACCAGAGCGAAGTCGAAGACGAAGATGATGCTGAGTCTGACGATACTCTGGATATAATGGTGAACGTTGTTTCAATGCTGCCTAGGGAATTCAATCGACAAGTAGAAGTCGAAACCAGTGACTGGGAGATGGAACAAGAAATGGCCAGACACAGGCCAGTGTGCTATTTTGTCATGGACAATGGCACTACAGAAGAACAAAATGGCTTCTTCGAGCCACCCACAGAGGCGATGAAGAATCACCTCAAACCTTTGTTCATAAGGGCCAAGCTCGAAGAGACCACTGTGAACAAGATATTGGTCGACTGTGGGGCCACTATCAATATTATCCCTCATTCTATGCTAATAAAGATTGGCAAAAGGGATGAAGAAATTAAACCTCACAATATGGTCCTATCCAACTATGAGGGAGGCATTGGGACCACCATGGGAGTGATCCAGCTCGACATAAAAGTTGGGTCGATCCTTCGACCAACAATGTTCATGGTCAT